ACAAACATGAATCTTCAATTATTCAGATCAGCCGCACATCCTCCCTGCGCTCCTAGTTCTGTAGCACCGGCTGAGCTCTCCCTTTATTCCTTACACTAATCACAAGCCTGGACCCTGATTTTCTCCTGTCTACAGCCTGCGCTTGCTAGCTCATGTTCACTTAAGATTTTTCTAAGTCTGACACTTGCTGTGGACGGACACTTTCACCCACACAGGCTCTCTGCCTCCCACATACGTGGCATCATTCCACATCCTGGCAACCAGGATCTCTGGTACTTGTTGCATAACTGATGTTTGAAGGAGAACAAGGGTGAACATAAGGGGAAGAGAGTGGGCTAAAATGAAACAAGATCAAAATATGGTAGCTTTTTTGCTGAATGTAGCACCACAGATGGGGAAACAGAACAAATGAGATTCTAATTGTACCCCTTGTACCTTTTCTGCATGCAGCACACTCCACACTTATTAGCACCACTTGTAAATATTCATAGAAACCCATAAAAGAAATGAATCTTTTATTTCAGCAGAATAATTTCACACTGAGAAATTTAGAAAATCAAGACTTTATTTATTCATGTATTTTTTTTATTGGGCAGCATGCCGACCAATTCTTGTTTTTAGCCAACTTACTGGCTCCACAGTTATCCAAACCTCCAACTATAGCAGTTTTTAATATTAGTGACCTTGACCTATTATTTCCCAGCATTATTAATGATGTAACCCTGCAGCAAAGACTAGCATCTCTAACCAAACACTAAACAACTAAACACTATCCACATGCCAACCAATTGTTTGGTTGAATAGTTGGAAAAAAATATATTTTCTGTACTACCATAACCTACACATGGCGTTTGCTAATCACTACTGGAACCCTGTGCTTTGGTCAGAGGAGTTGGAGCTTTTTGGCACCAAACATCACAAGTGGATCTGCAGTGACACTAAGAATGGGAATGTGGAAAAGCACTTATGCCGATTGTTAAATATGGTAGAGAATCTGTGATGCTGTGGGCCTGTTTCTCTTCTAAAAGACCTGGTAATCCCGTTGGAGTGCATTGGCATCCTGAACTCTGTAAAAAATAGATTTTAAATAGAAACCTGGTGGACTCCACAAGAAAACTAAAAATGGGTCTTCATTGTTACTTTCAGCAGGGTAATGATCCAAAAGTGGCTAAATCAACACAGAACTAGTTTACCGGGTACAAAAGCAACCGTCTTCTATGACCATCCAAGCCCTCAGGCCTAGAGAGGTCGGGCAAAGATGAACGGTCAAAGATCCCTCTTTCTATACTCCTACCTTGTGAAATGTTAGAAGAGGAAACCACGTGCTGTCCTATTGGCAAACAAGAGAAGCACAAAGTATTAGCAGCTAGGTAGCCAGTAAATGTGCAACCAGTGATTTTTTTTTTTCAAAACAATTATTTTTCAAATGGGATTTTTCCCCTATTGAAGTTAGATTTTTCTAAAATCTGTAGTGTGAAATTCTGCAGGTGCAATAATAAGCTTTTTTTTTTTTATCCAAAGGTGCCATTAAGTGTAGAGGGTTCTGTATAAATCAGAAGGCGCATCGCTTTACATTAAAGTGGACTAATTTCCTTACCTGCCACACATGAAAATTATCCACAGACTTTTAATTTGCCACAGAGACAGTTTCGTCCCCCAGGCTCTCTCTCATCCTCTGTGTTCTCAGTGTAACATCTTTCTGTATTTAAAAATGTTCCTGTGTTGCGAACGTTAAAAAGGTCGGACGATTGTCATATGAGAAACTGACTAATGCCGACCTCTGCGTGAATCTGTGTTCAGGCTACAGCACCATGAGTCCACAGGAGGACAGCGAGAATCCGCCCGGAAACAACGACCCGCTCTCGGCGGGCGTCGACGTCGGTAACCACGACGACGACATGGACCTGGACACGCCTCCTCAGACGGCGGCACTGCTGAGCCACAAGTTCCACCCATACCGACACGTGCACACCCACCACCACCCGCTGCACACGCAGACGCATCACCTGCAGGCCGCCGTGACCGTACACAGCGTGGACGCAGAGTGCTGATGCTCGAGGGGACTGAGCTAGCTTTTATTAAAGACTAATTTTGTAAAACATTTGAGTTTAACGAGACGCTCCACACTGTGTACTTCAAGGTTCAGATGAGTTGAGGAAGAATCCCACAGCTGGACCGAGTGCCTCAGAGCCACCCGGATTTACGCCCTGAATTACAAATTATGTGTCGTCGTGGCAGCATCATCTTTTTCTCATACCATCTTTTACTCAACCTTACTTAAAGTCTTGCAGACAATTGTACACATATAGGCAGACCTGGGCCAGTACATACAAGCAGTTGGGGTTTCCAGTTTCTCCTTTGAAGGCTTAAGAACTCACAGTTTTAATGAGAACAGAATAAAACTGGAGCCTAAAAACTTTGAGCAGAGACAAAAATCTTCATTTTTCAACATTGGACAGGACAAGAGGAAGACTGAATTAACGCTTGGGTCTGGTATGGATCTCCTTTGACTGTAAATGCAGCCCAGTTGGGACTGTAACATAGCTTTTCTTGCAACTAGTCTCTGAAGATAATCTCTCCAGAATCAGTTTATCTGGAAAGCTGCAGCCTTTCTCCAAAGAAGAGGCTTCTGGTCTCATCCACCATCCTGTAGGATGATATCTGAACACTTTCATGAATGTTTGTGAATATTAATGTGGGAAAGAAAACACTTCAATGTTTCAGATAAATACACGGGAATTTCTGAGTACAATATTATTTTTCTACTATTTATTAAAGCGGTAGATCCTCAAAACAGTTGGAAAAGCAATGAGGCAGTAAGTGATGCATCAGATTCAAGGCTCATTATTTTTGTTTTTTTTCCTCGTGAAAATATTACTGCCTCTTCAAGATGAAACTAAATGGCTTTATGTCTTGTTATTTTAAGGTAATGGGATCATGACGCTTTCAAATTAAACAAAATCAGTTTAAGCTGTTCCTCCAGTGAAACATGTCATAATGAAATCAGTTTAAAATCAAAAAAAAAATTGATACAGTTCACATCAGTAACAAGCTTGAGATTACATCATAGTTCATATTTTAAGATGACAAAATGAATGATTTTCAAGACAAAACAAGGTTGAGATCTTATATTGATATGAAATTACGAGACAACTCGAGACCTTATTTCAAGATAATAGTATAAAACATTGTGTAACTAGTGTGAATTACATTTAGCTCAGGAAGTAAGAGATTTCTGTGCAGTTTTCAAGCATGGTCAGAAAAAACTTACTAAACCCAAAAATAAAATAAACAAATAAAATGATCTGAAAATCAAATGAGAGATTTGAACATTTGAAATCTGGAAATGTTTTGAATTTCTGAAATAAAAATTATGTACGAAGTTTAATAAAAAATGAAGACAATGAGCCTCAAATTTGGAGGTGGTGATTTATGGCAAGCGGCACATCTTTCAGGTTTCCGAGGTGTGTCTGTTGTTTAAAGCATTTTGTTTGACGGTCGGTGAAAAGTTAATCTGCACAAGTAAGACAGAAACGTTTGTGCATGCTGAAAAAATGTTTGACCTTTGAGAGATGGAGGAGTAGCAACTGAAGCCAAAACCAGTAAAAAACATTCCTGGCTTTAGTCAGTGCTGGGGAGATTTCTGTGTCAGGATGATAACCGGGGATCCATAAAAAGGTCCTAGCAGAGGCGGACATTGTTTTGGGTCCTGGATAGAAAAACGGGACAGAATGTTATCTCACTACAACCTTTTTGCCTTTGAGGCCAAGCTGATGCTGCATGTACCATGTGAAGGTTGTGTGCTGGATTACGTGCAACAATGCGGCCTCCTTCTCATCTGAATGGAAGGAAATAGATGCTGCTGCTGTTGTGCAGAGGTTTACCCCCGTCTGTCGGCTCCTCTGCGGTTAACCACTCAAAATATGTCTTGTGTGTGTGTGTGTCGAACGTGTGGTTATCCACCTGAAACGCTTTCCTTGAAAGCATTAATTTTTTAAAACAGTGTTGGAAAATTCTAGGTGAGCCAATTATTATTGAAAAACCCACTCTTTTTTCTCCCGAGGAGTTGCTTCTTGACCCGGTCTGTGCTTTGTGGGGTTTGATTGTTCACCTGATCAAATTATGCGTGGCATCTAATAGATGCCAAGATGTCTATTGTTCTGCAGAGATTCATTATAAAATGTAAATACAGAGTCATGAATAGTTATTAATGTCCTGTACACTCATTTAAAAAAAAACAACATATGTTAATATTCAGATATTGAATCGTCTGTTCATGGTGTCTTGCTATATTTTGATGCCTTGGATGTTTCTCTTTTATTTTTTTTTAGGCTTATTTTTCCTTAGGTCCATATTGGATGGAAGTCAGTACTTGGAAATTTTAATACACAGTTTAAAAGAATTGTAGTTTTTAAAGGGTTATTATTGTGTGTCTTTGAGAACTATGTAAAAAACAAATTGCTCTCCCCACTGACAAAGATTTTTTTCAGCTTTTTATTGAGTAACGATCAAACATTTAAGAGCTGTATTCAATCACTGCCGTTTTAATTTGTCTCATACTTTTTAAAAGAAAAAAAAGCTTAATCTCCAAAATGATTCAAACATTTCATTCTAGTGGAGCAGACTTTAAAGAAAACCGATGTTTTCCCCTCCAAGCTGAATCCCACATCTTTTTGTTGCAGGAGAGCTTTTAAACAGTATTTCTAAGCTGTTGTTAAAAAACATAAAGTATGTACGTGTTTATACAGAACACTCTGAATTACAAGTTATTGACTGAAGGAACATGTGTACCTCACCCAACCCCGCTCCCAATGTATCGTATAGTTATCAACTGAGATTAATTGCAATGTGAATGTGATAAAGTACATTTTACACTTAAATTGTCTGTTTGTGATTCCTAAGAAAACATACAGAGCAAATCCCCGACTACTGTAACAGGATTACTGTAACATTCTAAAGAAATGATTATTTTATTATTAAAAAGAAATAAATGCATTAAGGGCTGAACAGTAGTGCAATTGGTAGCACTGTTGCTTTGCAGCAAGGCAACAGGCCTGGGTTCAAATCCTGGCCTGCGGTCTTTCTGCACCCCCCACCTCTCAAGGTGCTCCTGCCTCCTCGCACGGTCCACAAATACGACCATTTAGTCCAGTTATAAGCCAAATCTACTAGAAATAAAACATGCCTTACGACGGCGTATTAGGTTCGGGTTAAGAGATTTTTCTTTTAATTACGAGAATAGTTGGAATTTTTATGAGAACTTTTACAAAAAAAGCAGTTTTCCATGTGTTAAAATGAGGAATGTTGAGCATCTTTTTAGGTTATACTTTAATATCGTTTTCACAAAGGACATTCTTAATCTTTTAGCACATCAGCATCCAATTATTACCATAATCTGGATTTTGAAATGACTGTCTGCTTCAAAGAAATAACCACACGGACTTGGAAGAAATTGCTTGATTTATGGAAAAGGAGCGGTCATTACTTTTTTCTCACAATGTTTCAGTACAACTAGGAAGTGCTGGAGGACAGGTCAGGAGTGTTGACCTTTTGCACATATGCAAATAAAATACAAATTTCTAAAAGGATATTGCTTTGTAGCCACGCCTGGAAACAGCTTCAGAATGCTAGACATTACAAAGTTGCAGCTGTAACCCATTTTAAACGCTTCAAAAACAGAAGCAACAAATTGTCGAGAACTAATACAAAGATGACTTGCTCTCAAAGCATTTCTGACTGAAATGCGGATGGTGATATACAAAATTGTGGCCATACTAGAAATTAATGGAGAATGTTAACCAAAGCAAAATAAGTACAGGTTATTATATTAGTGGTGAGAAATGTCACATAAAAGGTTGGTTCAAGTATAAATTGGATTTAAGTTTGTCACATTTTTATCCTGAACACCCTGACAATGACTGGAGGCAGCATCATGCTGTGGTGATGTTTTGTTCAGCAGGGATGTGGAGTTGATTAGAATCGATGAGAAGATGAATTGAGCTAAATAAAGGTACCTAGTAGAAAACCTGTAGGCGACCCGCCCTCGAGAACCACTATTCTGCAACTTTTAGGTGCATTCCCTCTCCAACACACCTGAATTAAATGAATAGCAGGCCTATGCAGAGCTGAATCAGAGGGAATTCAGTGATTTGATTCAGCTCTGTCTAAAATTTGCATGACAGTAGCTCTAGTTCTGCGTTCCATTAACCTCGTCGAAACTGGGACGTCAGAGTTTACGTCATCTCCGAGGTGTAGCTTTCCAGTTTCCTGCTTGTTTTTAGTCGTATTGCTAGCAACTGTAACAGCAGTCTTACAATAACGATGACGATAACACTGTTCTACGCTTTTGTGAATATAAACAACGTTGAAACACTCCCGTCTTATAAACACTGAAAAGTAATACATGTACAACTGACTGAATGTTAAATAAAGAACTGCTAAAAACAGTGTGTTACTACTATTAATGCGAGTAGCAACCATCTTGAATGTGGAAGTCGGGTACGGTCATGTGGCTCTGACTTGTAATTCTGACTTTCGTGGGAGTTGCAGTTGAAATTTCTTACTTGGAGGTCGGAAATTCCGACCCCGGAGTAGAAATGGAACGCAGCAAAATGGAGTGACGTTGAGAACCCCTGTTTTAGAGGCATCAAAAGTTTTGTGACGGGAGTAGAGCTTCACCTTCCAGCACGACTAAACTTACAAGGAAGGCACAGCGAGGTGGTTTAGATCAAAGTATATTCATGTGTAGAAGATGACAAGCAGCTCCTGTAGAAAGTGGTACTTCATAATTGCTGCACGAACTACAGTCTCAGCTGGGCCTTCTTCGGAACAGCGTCTATGCGTGAACAGCGGTGAAAGTGAGCTGGTACGGTCCGGTACTGCGTACCTCTAAAAGATTATGCGCCGGTACGCAGTACCGGGAAGAAGGAAGAACAGCTGTCTGCTATGAAGCCGTCACCCAGAACCAGTTACGGCTGCAAAAATTCCCGAGCACACAAAAGAATATCAGGCAGTCTAAAACACGACTTAATCAGTTTCTAAATATTGTTATTTTCCCCTCATTCCAAATAGTTCCTGAACTGTTCTGCTATGATGGAGCCTCAATGCTCTTGCTTTGCTTCTCTCCCCTCGGAGTTCGAGGCTTTAATGAACGGCCAGCGTTTAAAACGAGCAGCGCTACGTTTAATGTCTGTCTGCTCGCTGCTAAATACCCCAGTTAAAAGCACGGGGAGAGAAACTAGTTGTGGTTCATGTTATTTTGCTGAATTACAACACAGTACAGCTCGAAAACACCGCTTATGACCAGAGATTTCACATAAACTACACGAGAGCGCATGCGCACTTACCTCCAAAACCGAACGGTTGCCAAGGAGATCGGTGCGTTCGATTTAATGGACTGGGAGATTTTACACAGGTGGCGCACAGACAGGACGAACAATAAATCACTTACCATCTACAGACTTTTAAATAAAAACCGCGAAAACAA